CAGCACACCTGTTATTTGTAGCCTTTGAGTTGCGCCTGATATTCATGGCCTTCATGTTGCGCCTGTTATTCATAGCCTTTGAGGTGCGCGTGATATTCGTGGTTTTAAGTTACGCTAGATTTGTTATTATCCTCATAGACTATATATCTATACCTGCGTCACGTGGTCTACAAGCCATGCTAGATTGGTGATTTACTTATATGGGTTGTGTGCCCATAACAGAAATCTCATGCCATATGAATTCCTTTAAGGAACTTGTTTTAGAAATTTTTTTTCTGTAAATTTATATTTTTTTAAAGGAATTCTTATTGTGAATTTTGGATAAGTTGATCCCAAGATTACTATTACAACATATTTTTTTCCTCATTTTATATTGTTAGAACTGTGTCATTAAATATTTATGATTAGAATTGCGTTGATTTATCATGCACTTATGAAATTGTTTGTATTTCAAGTAACAGAAACCATCACCTCTTTCATCTGCATTATAAAGCAGGTACTCATGTTGAATAATCGTAAAGTTTAATTTATATTAAATTTGAATTATCGTCTTGTAGTATTTAATAGTTGTTTCAAACAAAAGGCAAGGCATCCACCTCTTTGTTTTTATTATTTATTGATTACGGAAGTAATTCTTGCATTGTGTTTGAAGTGGTTGTTTGATTTCTTTAAATATTTTATTTTAAAGATTTATTGAAAATATTTACAAAAAGTCATGAGTATTATAATATTATTTGAATTTATATTGCTGAATTGTATAATTTTTACCAAACATAATTAGAAACATGTGCTTTGATTAGGCTTACAAAATAAGGTTAACCTTGTATTTCATGCTGGTCGCATTCAGTATTTTGGGACATGACATAAATATAATAACTTGGCAAGTACTACATACAAGAGATGTTCAACAATCCATATATATTTGATGAAGGATCGGTCAACAAAATGGCAAGATCAAAAGAATTAAATTTCACATGTGTCAACTTTCAAAAAGAAAATATGACATAGTTGTCAACCAAGGCATAATATGCCTCAACTCCTAATAATGATGCCGTGAAGGTAAACTATTTAGGAAATAATGACCCTGGATAAAAGACGATTTGTAAAAACAAAACCAAACAGCAGGACATGATATTAGATAACAAATAACATAAAATTTTAGTCCAGAAAATTTCTCCTATAAACGGCATATAAACTAACTAATTAGACAGAGATAAACCTAAAGTTTAATTTAATGGGAAGCTGAAGAGGGATAGATCAAAATGCAATATGGCTTTAAGTAAAAACCTTGCTGCACAACTATAAACTCACACCTATAGCTCCTTTGTGATGCTCAATTATTCCAATCATACGTTAACGAAATCTGAACTAAAGAAATGATTACTTATACATAGGAATGACATAAGAAATAGTAACATGCTTTTAATATACAGGTTATAAAATATCATTATATTTTCTGACAACAATAAAATCAAAGAGGGATAATTTCCCAGAAATCATGAAATAGATTATAACTATATAAAGATAAAACAATAAAATTGGGCAACGTATAAACAGCTTACAAGTAATTATAGATTTTGAGGGTGGTGAATTTTAATTTGTACTGAGTTCTATATGGCAAACTTTGTGATGACCACATAATACTTGGTGTTTCAGGATAGATTTGAGCCAAAACTCTCAATTTGAATCCTGTATCCTTTTCAAGAGAAGCTGTCTCTTGAGCTAGCCATTTTTTTTATGAAAAAAATGAATAACAATACTGCTTATCTATTTCACATATGCAGCCTTACTTAACAGTCCATTTTGATTTTCCAGCATAGTAAGGAAAGAAAATGAAATGGACAAGATAGGCGAAATAGACTTCAAATCTTGAGCTTAAAATATGTACAACAGTAGTGAACTTCTAATGGGGGATCACTATACTTGGCCATTAGAGAGGAAGCCGAGAACAGAACATCAATCATCAATGATGGTACTAAAATCCTCAGGAAGCAATTTTAGCTTGTTCACGCCAACTTTTGCCTCAGCCCGTCCAACGTTTGTCTTCTTTTAATACTCAAGTTTTACAATTTATTTGCACAATTTTAAAAATTCAAGACAAATAGTTGTGTAACATAACGAAGTTGAATGGGAAGCAAAAAAGGCTACCTTTGACAAATAATCCAAATGCGAGGGCTCCTGGCATTATAGATTATAAAGGTGCATAATTACCAAAAATGCACAGCAAAATTTAAAATGATGAGATGAACATTCCCGTAGATTGTAACGGAAACAATAAATAGAGAGTAAATGATTTAGAAAATAAAGCAAAGAATGTAGGTCTAACCTGATGATAGATATAGAGCTTAGAAATAGGCTGGTTGAAATTTGTCACAACCTTGAATCAATGCCAACAGCAAACACACTGACAACAACAACGGAGAAAAGGAAAGGAAAAAAAGAAGAAGAAAAGCAAAGAAGAAGAAAGAAATTAAAGAGAAAAAAACCAAAGAAGAACCTCAGATCGGCGATGATTCTCATCTCAGTGAAAAGACCCTATCCCCTTGAATGGAAGAATATGGGAAGCTCGTCTCTTTGGCCTCAATCCCAGTAATCTGCATGCCTCTTTAGCAAGAAAGGCTTGCCAACATATTTGACTAAATTTGGATAAGGATTTGAATCACAAGAATGACCACCGCACATCCTACCTACAAGCAACCAAAAAATTGGTCAATTAAATCCAACCACATTGAGAGCGGCAAGATAGAGGGAGAGACCCAAGAGCAAAACAATGCGGCTGAATGAGCAGATGATAATGATAGAAGATAGACGAAGCTAACAATGGACCTAAAAGCAGCTAAAGGGGAGGAGATGATGTTGGCACTTTAAGGGAGGAAAAGGCACACGTAAAAATTACACCAAAAGCCAACACGAAGGTGCCAAAATGAAAATATTTTGGGGGTGGGGAGGTGTTAATTTTAAAATTTCAAATACACCCCACGCTAGACAAGCTAAGAAATACTATTGTTTTAGTCAAAAGAAAAGAAAAAATAAATATTGCTGTTCATCTGGTGATTCCAAATTAATCAATATAGGTATTTGATGTATAGGGTTAGAATAAAATGAGCAAAAACTCTTAATTTTAAGGGAAGATAAACTGTAAATGGTATTCTTTTTGAGAGAAAACATATATGGCAATACCTCTCTTGGTTCATATGTTGACATTTTACAGGAAAATACGTGCATGATTATATCTTTATGTATAATATATGATAATTTAAGTTTTGGTATCAACCAAGATGTACATCATTATTATTTACAGTGATTTATGTGTTTCGTTTGAATGAGGGAGAGGGAAGAGAATGGGAGGGAATGGAGGGGAGGAGAATCTTAACAAAACCTTATTTGGCCTTGTTCAAGAGGGGAGAGGGGAGATAGTAATTATTTTACTACCATACCCTTGCATATTATTTTTTTAATAATTATTTTTTAAATATTAGTTGATTAAATATATCATAAAACTCTTTTTTTCCCCTAAAACTCCATTAAACCTGCTTAAAATTTAATGAGAAAAACTTGATAATGATACATTTTTTAATCATTAACCCATTATAATCCACTTATTTTGATTTGATGGGATTAAAATACATGAAGTATGTAAGAGTAAGTATATAAATCTTGCCCAAATTTAATTATAACGCAACTATATAATTTAAAATTTATAAAATAAAATACGTTCAATTATAATTTAAAATAATGTGTTTTATTAATAATTTTTATATTTGATTATTGTTATATATAGATATTAATTAAATATTTGTTTTATATTATTAAGAAAATAAAACAAAAACTCATAATTTAGCTAAATATTTTTAATCAAAGAATATAGAATCCATATATTGCAAACAAAGTTTTCAAACATTGGATTGTAGGATCAAATCCTATTATAGATGTGAAAACTTTATTAGTGGGTGATTTATAAATATTTTTGTAAATACTTTTTAAGTTTGGAGACATGTCTTGGGCTGGTAGAGGGACCCTACTTATCTAAATTTTCTGTTAAAAAAAAAAAAGATTTCAAACATTAGAAACAAAGCTTGCTTGTAGATTCAAGTCCATGGTAGAAATGGTAAACAGGAAATTGATGCAATTGAAATCAAGGTATATATGGAGGAAATATCACTAAAAATTGAGAGGAAATTAGTCAGAAATTTTGGTTCTCCTCCTAAAAAACCTCAACTTAAAGGAGAGCAATATGTTTTCCTCTAAAATTCTCAGCTGAAAGAGGGACGGGAACTCTCAAAACCCTCAAACCAAACACCCCTTTGTATCGACCATAACCAAAAAAAAAAAAAAGAGAAGTAATAAAAAAGTGATGTATTATTATTTATTTTTTAATTCTTATTTTTGAAAACAAATCAAAGTTAAATAAATGAGTGTTTTTGCGAACCAAAATTATTTAAAAGAAAAAAGGAAGAAATAAAAAAAATTACTATTGTCACCCTGGACTAATTTTAACAATTAATTATTATATAATTTTAGCAAGCTAGTAACTTAAAAATAATGATGAAATTTGATGAATATGAACTAAAGCTGAGAATACGAATTAGCTTACAATTTGGCCCATGATTGGGTGCAAGTTACAAACGTCCACTTTCTGTCAGGCTAGCCTAATTGTTTTTACCAATTTTTCATATCACTTCCCCTTCATTAATTTCTGGTTACGTCACTGTGGACAAGAATGGTGATAGAAACAACACAAGTTGTCAATTTCACATGTAAAGAGAATACTTAAGCAGCTAAATGCATAGTATATGAGCGGTGCTGACAAATATTTTGTTAATGAATTATGAAGCCATCTCACAAAAAGCAATTGATGTGAAAAGCAAAGGAGGTTTGAAGCTGGACCATCAAGTCTTAACTCCATCTTGACACTTTAAATAATCAAAGATTCATTGTCACAAAAATAAGAATCACAAGTTCAAGTCCTGTTTCTAACCCATGTCGCCAATAATATCAAAGAGCAAATAAAGAAGCAATAGTATTGGCACAAAGCAAATCTGGAACAGAACATGTGTGCACCTACATACAAGCCTTTCTAATTTGAATCTGCCAGTAACTTCTCAGAGGCTTATTAGAAACTCTAATCCAACAACTTACATTTGAGCACAATTTATAATTTTCACATTGTAAGTTGATCAAAAAAATATATATAAGTGAAGAATCCAATGAGGTTAACTGTCTCATTTTACTAATATGATTCTTCTCTTCAGATGGTTTTAAATGCATGAGGCCAACGTGAAAGAATAATATGGCTTTAAGATAACTAGAGAGAGAATAGCTGGCTTTACTAACAAAAAGATACTAATGAAGAAGTCATCGAGGCTGGTAGAAAGAAAAGATAATCATATAATATGAATAATCTACAAAAATCTTTTGGCTCATCTTTGGTGCTTGTTTGATACTTTTGACATTATCTTCTTGTTCATATACGCTTCTCATGTGTTCTTGTCATCACTTTCACTTCTATACAGTCAGATTGAAGCTTCTGTAGATTCTATCTCTGAGATTGTCACATTGGTAAGGAAGATGAGTTCCACATTGAGGTGTTGATTATCTCTGTAGCTGCATCGGACTGTTTTCTCGCTTATTCATTTTGAACCTTCCTGTAGATCCAATTCATGACTCATCACTCGTATTGCCATTCCTCCTATGTTCTACCATACATTTTCCCGAAACTAACACAATGTTTGTCAAGTAAAAAAGTGTTCTCTAGAAAATAAATAGAAAATGGACCTATATTCCATTTTATTTCTAACCACATCTCTCATTTCCTTTCTAGAAGACACTTTTCCATATACCAAACATATTGTCTATCACTGTGGCAACTGCCATGTGGTAATTTTGTTATTAGGTTTTAATTCTGAAAGTAAAATGCAGTTTCCCCCATTCTTCAAGAGAAAATTTCAATGTCTGATATGATTGATGTTCAGGCTGAGATCTATACATAATTGTCCGTGCCATTGCTAGTTTTCTTCCTCTCATGCTCTTCTTCCTCATACTCATCACTCAATTTGTTCTGCAATTTTATAACAGAGAAATCCAATTCACAGAGGTCAGAGAGTTGAATCTGGTGTAGACTGTTAAGTCTCTCTATATTCTGCTCACAACAATAACTTTTTTTTTTTTTGGTTTTGTGATTTTTCTTACCACATTGGTCAATTTCGAGTGTTGTTCCAATTGCAAAGTAACTCCAATTTCTGCAGCAATATCCTTTAGCACTTTCAGTCTGATCTCCATGGCTGGCCTAGTAGCTGAAAGCTTTAATATCATCTGAAATAAAAGCACCACTAAAGTTACAATATCATGGATCTAAAGATTGTGCGAGATATGATCTCCAAATACAGAAATTTTCAGAACCTTTGAGTTCACTCTATTATTTTGGTGCAATTCCACAGCATGAGCAGCGAATCCTTCCCCATATCTGAAAGTGAAAATCTCTCTAATCTTTTGAAGCTCCGGAAATTCTCCACATCTAGAGGATGCGAAAATCAGGCTTGAAGTTGCTTCTTTGATCTCCTCAGGACAGTCACTATCTCAAACAATTGATTTTATCGAAGTGAGTCATTTCGGATATGAAAGAATACATATAGACAGGAAAAGACAGAGAACGCTAACCTGTTCTTTTCGAGAAGTTTAGCTCTTCCTCTGAGAAAGTTGCAGTAATTTTCTATCATAACAAACACATCCACCATGTTTTGTTCTCTTATTAACTGCTCCACCTTTTGGTTACAGCTCAAATTGATCAGTGATATGAGGAGACATATTCTAAGGTAAATTCAAAGTATACAAAACAAATACATTGATTGAGTCTATACATTATAAAAGAGACATAATACATTGCCATGAGTACTGCATCGAGAAACTCCGCCTATGTTTATAGCCGGTCCCAAGCCCGGGTAAAGGAGGAGGGTTGTGTTAGGCCATCAACAGCCAATGTAAAAATTTGTTGAATCTATCATGAACATGGACAATAGACGTTATAATGTTAATGCTAGGTCGTTGCCCGTAAGTAACGCGCTGCATGGCTCGAGTACAGTGATAAGTGAGTTAGAGCCGCTGCATCGGCGCCCGGATGTAGTGTTAAATGAGCAAGGGCTACCGCGTCATTCTGGACGCACGCGGCTAAAGAAGTTAGTCCATAAGAGCAAAATTAGATTTGGTACTTGGAATGTTGGGACATTAAATTGTAAATCTGTAGAGGTTGTAGGGGTTATGATTCAAAGGAAAATCAATATCCTTTGCTTGCAAGAAACAAAATGGCGTGGAGAAGGAGCTAAGGATATTCAAGGTTTCAAACTTTGGTATACAGGAAAAGTAAGTGCACGCAATGGAGTAGGCATCATTATAGATAATGAGTGGAAGAAGAACGTTGTAGAAGTTAGCAGAATTGGAGACAGAATTATTTCTTTAAAAATGATAATTGGACGTGAGACTGTTAATATTGTTAGCGCTTATGCGCCGCAAGTCGGGACAGAAGCCAGTCTTAAGGAATTATTTTGGGAGGATCTGGAGGGGTTGATTCGACACATACCACAGAGTGAAAAGATTTTTATTGGAGGAGACTTTAATGGGCATGTCGGGAGGGAAGCTGGTCAGTATGCGAGGGTGCATGGTGGTTTTGGTTTTGGAGAGCAAAACAATGAAGGGCAAACTCTTCTTGATTTCTCATTGGCGTATGATTTTAAGATTGCCAACACTTGTTTCAAGAAGAGAGATGAGCATCTCATCACTTACAAAAGTGGAGCCTCAAGGTCGCAGATTGATTTTCTTTTGGTTAGGAACACAGATAGAAAACTTTGTAAAAATTGTAAGGTGATCCCTGGAGATGCTGTGTAACGACACAACATAGGGTCCTAGTCCTTGATGTGTGTATTATGAGTAAAATCCAAAAACGTCGACAAGTAGTAACACCAAAGATTAGGTGGTGGCAATTAAAAGGTGAGAAGCAAGATATTTTCAAGCGAAATCTTTTGGATAAAGGAATTTGGGATTCTCAGGGAAGTGCTAACATCATATGGGAGGATATGGCTAAAAAGATACGGGAGGTTGCAAAAGTAGTTTTGGGAGAATCGAAAGGTTCTGGTCCGAGAGATAAGGAGTCTTGGTGGTGGAATAATAGTGTACAGGACAAAATCAAGTATAAGAAGAACTGTTTTAAAGCCATACATTTGTGTAACAATGAAGAAAATTGGAAGAGGTACCGTATGGCTAAGAAGGAAACTAAGAGAGCTGTGGGTGAAGCTCGTTCTAAAGCTTTTGAAGAATTTTATAAGAACCTTGAGACGAAGGAAGGAGAGCAAAATATTTATAAGATTGCCAAGAGTAGGGAAAGAAAATCAAGAGATCTAGAACAGGTAAGGTGTATTAAGGATGAAGAGGGAAGAATTTTAGTTACAGATGATGAAATTAAAAATAGATGGGAGACTTATTTTTCTAAACTTTTCAATGATGGAGAGGATTCATCTAGTAACTTGGAGGATTTAGTAACTGGTGAAGGAGAACAAAATTTGTCATTCTATCGAAAAATACGTGATAAGGAGGTAAAGGAAGCTCTTAAGAAAATGGCAAATGGTAGAGCTAACGGACCTGATTGTATATCTATCGAAGCGTGGAAATGTTTAGGTGAAGAAGGGGTGAGATGGTTAACTAAGTTATTTAATGTGATTTTACGGTCCAAGAAAATGCCTGATGAGTGGAGGAGAAGTACATTAATTCCTATTTATAAAAATAAAGGAGATATTCAGAATTGTACTAACTATAGAGGGATTAAACTCATGAGCCACACAATGAAATTGTGGGAGAAAGTAATTGAGCACAGGTTGAGATTGGAGACAAGTATTTCTGAGAATCAATTTGGTTTTATGCCAGGTAGATCAACTACAGAGGCATTTATCTACTAAGGGGATTAATGGAAAAGTATCGTTGTAAAGATAAAGATTTACACATGGTTTTTATTGATTTGGAAAAAGCTTATGACCGTATACCAAGAGAAGTGCTTTGGAAAGCGTTGGAAAAAAAGGGAGTACGGATTGCTTATATTAAAGCCATACAAGATATGTATGAGGGGGTAAAAACTAGTATAAGAACGCCTAGTGGTCAAACAAAGGATTTTCCTATAAAGATTGGACTACATCAGGGATCATCTTTGAGTCCTTATTTGTTCAACTTGATTTTAAATGTTTTGACGGAACATATTCAAGAGGAAATCCCGAAATGTATGCTCTTCGCGGATGATATAGTTCTTATAGCAGAGACAAGAGAAGAGGTTAATTGCAAACTTGAGTTATGGAGGAGGACATTGGAGTCGAAAGGTTTTCGTCTGAGTAGAAGTAAGACGGAATATTTATATTGTAAATTTGGTAAAGGACTATTCGAAAATAATTTGGAAGTGAAATTGGGAGATCAAATTATACCTCAAGTGGAAAAGTTTAGATATTTAGGAGCCATTATTCAAAATGATGGCGAAATCAGTGGAGATATTTCACTTAGAATTCAAGCTGGGTGGTTTAATTGGAGAAAAGCTAAAGGAGTTATTTGTGACCGTAAGGTGCCTAATAAACTTAAAGGAAAGTTTTATCGTACTGCTATCAGACCGGCAATGTTATATAGTAGTGAATGCTGGGCTCTAACGGGACAGCAAGAGCATAAAGTTGGAGTGGCAGAGATGAGAATGTTACGATGGATGTGCGGACATACACGTAAAGATAAAATTCGAAATGAGCACATACGTGAAAAAGTGAGGGTGGCACCTATTGAGGAAAAAATGGTAGAAAATCGGTTGAGATGGTTTGGGCATGTACAAAGAAGACCAAGGGAGGCACCAGTGAGAAGAGTGGAACATATAACTTTGAGTCCGATTAAGAGAGGTAGAGGAAGGCCTAAGAGAACACTCTTGGAAGTTGTTGAACGTGATCTCTTAATTAATAATATTTCTAAAAGCTTGATAGAGATACAATGGCGTCTTGCAATCCATGTAGCCGACCCCACCTAGTGGGATAAAGGCTTGTTGTTGTTGTTGTTGTTGAGTACGCATCGAGAAGCTTCATAAAAGAATAACATTTATGAGTCTAAGAGATTCTTTCATATAATATATTAGCCTTTTTGGAGTAGACTTTTCCTTAAACACTTATGCCCGTGACATTGGTATTTTCATTGAAAGGATGCTAGAAATGTCGACTCTCAAATATGAGTGCATTACTATGAATGAAAAGCGGGCTCTAAAAGTTTAAGAGACTCTCTCATATGATAAACTAATTTGTTGAGACTCTTCTTGAATTTATGCTCATAACAGACACCCACAAAAGATTTCACAATTGAGTGATTTAGAGAAGAGATTGTGCTTGCTTACCCGAAGGAGAGCTCTGTCATGGTAACCAAGGTCCAAGAATTGAACAACATCAGAGCGAGCATAAGATCCTCGTACTTGAAACTTGTTCTTTAAGATAGCAGTCCTAGAAACAGCTTGTTTACTGATGTCTTTAAACTTGGAACCCAAGCTTTTCCCAAGAAGACCCATGTTTAATTCACTTTACAATATAGCCTCTGTAAGTTTAGCTATATCAGTGATATTATAGCTATACAGTTACATGCAGGAAAGAGATCCAAAAGTGAAGAAATTTGCGGTGAGAGACCTCTTTATAGGAAAGCCAAAAGTGATTTGTTTGACGTGTTATTCGTATTGAATCGACGGCTTATGCCGGTCAAAAAGAAGAAAAAAATCGACGGCTTATTACATTCGCTTCTTATTGGTTGAATCCTTCTTCTTCATGTAATTTCTTTTGAAAAGTCAATTATATTAAAGACACTGGTTCCTAGGTTTTCATGATAGTAATGCTAGCCTGAAGAGGTCAAACAGGTCATGAAATGGTGGAACTCTAGATAACCCAATCTCGTTAATTATTTTTCCCGATACAATTGTAAAAACATTTCTAACCATATTTCACAATAATAAAAGTAATTATTTTTTATTTCCATGAAAATTGATTTTTTTTGGTTCTTAATTAACCAATTTATTATAAAGAACTTCTTGATTCAATGACATCCCATACTCCTTTAAAAGAAGAGGTTGTGGGTTCTATCCCCTAGTGTGTATACACACTAGGGATACAATCCACAACCCTCTCCTTTCAAATGAATGTGAGATATTAATAAATTAAAAGGTTCATTTATTAGGTGTTAATGTGTAATATAATTTATTGTTTAAGATTTTATTTTTCAATTATTGATTCAATCCCTGAATTTTGAATCAAAATAATTTAAAGTTTTATAATTTCTTGACCTTGGGGAAAAAACCCAATCCTTATAATTCCTTGGCTCAATACTACTCAATTTTTATAATTATTTAATTTAATAAATTATAAGGATTGAGTTGTAATTTAAGACTTAAAGTTGTATTATCCTTTTTTAAAATACTAAATGTTTTTACATTTTGCACCATAATTAGCTGACAAAAATGTTTTACAATTGAAGGAGCAGCTAGCTTGTTTAAACTTCAAATCTAAAGGTTCAAAATGTAGCTTCATTCTATTATTCTACTTTCTTGTTTGGAAGCATTTATGTTTTACTTTATTTTTCTTATAAACACTAATTAACTTTATAATATATTTTTTTTACGCCTCAGCCAAATAAAAACTATAGATCAAGATGAAATTAATTAATGTCATGAAAATGAGGACCGAGCACGATGTTCTAGCCTATTAAATTAAAGGACGCAAACCGCTACCTTTATGACTCATTCAAGGCAATTTTATAATTAATTTTTTTAATAGAAATTCAAAGATTTGAATGATTAAGATCAAGACGGCCTTTGTCATATAATCTAATTAATAAATGAAAGTAAAATTTGTTTAATCAAATTAAAATGGGAATATATATCATTCAAAGCTTGCACGAGTCTAATTAGCTTTACAATAATACCATACCTATATCATCATCGATCAACTTGGACCACATGGGGTGATAATTGAAGGTCCAAAATCAACATCATCCTCATGAGCAAACCACACAAAGTGATAGTGAAATTCACCTACTATTCATAAGCCATTATTAGCATTGTGCATTATCTTTTAAAAAAACTCTGTCATATCATTTGAATATATTTTTTAAGATTTTAATATAATTTGGCTCAAGTGTTTATATTTTGATTGCTCAAATTAAAAAAATGTGTATCTTGCTTTGAGCTTGCAATTTGTTTTAATTCAATCCTTTTGGGCTAATTTTGTGTTGTTTTGGTTTAAAGTTTAATTAGATATATTTATGGACCTTTGTTGATGCTTTTGGAAGGAGAAATAAAGTGCAAAAAGAATAAATTTCATTAACTACAAAAACAGTCTAAGACTATCAAAGTCATACTAAAGTCGTGACTTTATTCGCAACTTTCATTGTTGTTAGCAAAATACTTCATTTTATTTATTTAAAAATGTTTGGATAGGATACATATATGCTGCTAACTTGACCCAGCTTGCATTCAACATACTTGAAGATTCATTTGGAGGTGGTTGTGCTAGGGTTGGGCGTTGAAAGAATTGAGATCAAGAGACACTAATAGAAAAAGGCTCTTCTACTATGCTAATTCACACCACATTTAGAAAATGTGATTTAGAAAGAACATAATTCATGTCATCCAAACAAAAGAGGATGTGCATTGTAAAAAAAATTATTTTTTAATTTTTAAGAATCCACGTTGTAAGGTCACCCTTACTAATCCACCATTAATTCAAAGTTAAGGTAATCATGGGACTAACTTGATTGAATTACCAAGTTGTAAAATTAGGGATCCTAAGTTTTTAAAACTTAACATGCTAAAAAAATTATTTCATAAATAAAAATTAGAGAAAAACATGTATATAGAAGCATGGACATTATATAAGGTAAAATAACATCAAATTCGGTTCAAAAGAGCAAAAGTAGTGATTTTTTCATAATATGTTGCCAGCATAAAATTTATGCTATGGCATAAAATGCAAAAGCCCATGATAGAAAAAAGAAAAAGCCATTATGGTATATTTTTTGATTGAACTTCTGACGTGCCTCAAATCTTCATCTAACGTTCAATTGAGATGATCTAAGTATTTACAAAAAGCTTTCTCCATGCTCTAGCTAATGGCACTGGTTTCACATTTAAATCATTTCTCAATTAAAATTTGGACACCAAAATACAAACTTAATCATTATGCTTTCAAAACATATCTAGAGTGTCCAAAATCACAACCAAGTGCCATAAGTTTACAATCACTCTAGACCACACTTAATAGACTTAACAAAACTTGTGCAACATATCACAACATTCCAATAATATGTACAACACATTTTTAGTGCTTTACCCCTAATTTTATAAAACATAAAGGGGAGGAAATTCTTGTACAAATAATTCATATTCATCAATAACAACTCAAAATACACTTTATATTACTTGCACAAGTATTTTGGCTCTATATCAGGTTTCACACCATAATTTATTAACCCAAGGCATAAAATACATAAGTTGTATACAATAATAATGCAAGTAGCTCAAAATAATCATATGATTCTTAGTTGGAAAATTAACAATATTAATACACAAAAACAACATGATGAGGCATACAAGTAGAATTTACTCTACAATCCTAAGCCTCAGCACATTTTTTGCAATCTAGATTCAATGAGCTAGGTCCTGAAAATATTTAAGAATGAGGGGTGAGTACAACCACTCAATAACCAAGTTCTACCTAATTTATAGTTGCATATTAATTTAAAACAAATACAATTGGCAATAGCACACATATATTTTTCACATATATAACAATCATAGTCATGGTCACAATAATAACAATCATATAATTGGCATTAAACATATATAATCATGTATATACCAATTATGAATAATATGGGGTCAAACTAACAACTATGTGCCCCTGGTGTATGCCAAACCACAATGATAATAACTATATGGCTGAATCTAAATGCATGAGCAACGCAATCTTATACCTTCCTGTTACCTTTAACATAAACCAGTGACTATTAAGTGGCTGACATTCATTATGGACTAACCCAGCCTTCCACTTGTGAGGAGTTTATCGAGCTAAGTTAATTCATTCACTTGTGTACCATGGTTTTCTCTCAATACTAACAACTATAGGGTGTCGTACCTCTAATATAGCCTCTTCATGAATAATAGAGACTAGTTAGGTTCAAGTCCCTCATAAAACAAGTGGGACAGTTTCGAATCAACTATAAAACAAGCCACCTCTCGATTTCAACACTCAGTGCCAAGGCAAGCTTTCAATTCCAACGGTAAGCTGCTAGTACCATGTGGGTTTATCAATCTACTCCTCTCCCTAGACGAACTCCCATCAATGATCATGCTATGCACATATAATAAGTTATATGCATTTAGTACATATTGTTTCAATTATATCATATGTATAAGATTCTCTTCCTTCCAGCATTCTCCACATGCTATTAAACACATAGTTATGCTCTCAACCATTATCATCATTCACACGTGTAAAACGTGCATATTTTTTATAACCATTCAACAGAATTTTCAAACATGCCAAATTTGCATCAAAAAGTTCAAATATCAATCATGTTTTAAAAAAAATAATTTCAATCAATAAGTAATTAATATCCAACTATGTAAATAAGTTTTTCCTAGTTACCTTAAACAATTGATAGGTTAAGGTTTACTGCTCAATAAAGTTCTCACAAGCTATACCAAAACTTGAATGGTGCACAAGATGATAATCATACCAATCATCATTAATATCATCATAAACACTCTTCCACTTTCATAAATCAACACTTTAATTACCAAATTCTAATCTCTTACACTTAAGCATACCATTAGGTTTATAACTCCCATTAACTCCATTTAGCTTTCATTAACTTAAATAATCACTAATATAATATCCAACAATCTAAAATCACACTTTGGAGGTCTAGGGTTCATCCAAAATGGATGATCCAAGCTTATAACCTTGTAAAAACTTCTAAACTATGTGTACAATATTTAAAAACAACTCTCATTAGTCATATTTAGACTAATACGGTTCGGACCCATAGCTTTAAATCCAAAAATTATTGTCTTTGAACCTTAAATCTCACTTTCAAAATGTGTAAAAGGAAGAAAAGAGATAAGGAAGGCATACCTAGGTGAAACCAAGTTTCAAACACCTCCAATATGCCCAAAAGTTGATGTCCTAACATAGAAAATACTCTCTTAGTCACACTCTCTCTGCTTGTTAGTCTAACTCTTGTTTTTAAACTGATTTGCATTTTTTTTAAAAAAATTGGTTTAGGAAATTATGTTGCAGCATAAATTTTTATGCGGTGGCATAATACACAGTGGGCTAAAAATCTAATTTCTCTCTACAATTTGAGCTTAAGTGACTTAATTTACTTTTGAACCCAATATAACCATCTTTAACAATTTTCAAACTTAATTATACTTAAATTTACACAATTAACCTTTATTAAATTAATAAATCATGAGAAATTTTTTTAGGATGTTTCACATGTCACCAAATGGATGGGGACA